GAAAACAAAGAGGAAAGTTTATGCTTAACTTAATGAAAGGGCAGTTGAAATTTCTGGGGCATGTAATGAGGAAGGAGGGCTTGGAAAATCTGATACTCACAGGACAGATAGAGAGAAAGAGGAACAGAGGAAAGCAGCATGTAACATACTTAATGAGCTTGAGCAAATAAATGGCAGAACAGGGTTTGGGAGAGATAATTTATTAAGAGCTGTAAGGGATGGGAAGATGTGGAGGGCCATGATCATTTTTGTCTTGAAGGGACACAACACTTAAAAGAAGGAGATGGTGCATACAGTATTGACTTTTGACAAATCTTGAAGTTGTATTATTTTATTCTTTCTTGAATATTAAAAAGTGGATCATAATGAATGGACATCCCAAGATTTTCATAACCCTCACCCAGGCCCATGGCACTCTCTGCTGCACCATTGTCTCCAGAGACAAATGGTGACAATGGTATGCTGTGTATTGTGTGTGTGTGTGTGCATATGTATATATGTGTGTGTGTGTGCGCACATAATCTTACTAACATATGCAAATTTGTGTATAAGGTGTTGCTCATTTTGCAGGACAGTGCCATATTGTCTGTCTCAAAGCTCTTACTTACTGTGTTACTATCATCATGATTATTGCCATTGGTAACACTACAGATTTTACTGCTGATAATGCTAGTGCTTCATTTATTTCCTGTCCTGGGTATGACGATAAATTACACCCAACAGCAAGGCCTCTGATCAGGAGGTTTTGAGGAGCATGGAACCACCTCTTAATCACTGATGTTCCCAGGTCCACCCTGACCTGGAGTGGTAGCACCTGTTAGGGTCCCAACTATGGGTAAATAGTTAACCCCCCCCCCCAAACTGGGGTCAAAACACCATGAAAGTGTAAAAAAGAGGTTTTAATACAAGAAATACATTGTAAAAAATTATTACCAGCAATACATTTTTGAAGAAAAAAAATATTACCAGCAATACATTTTTGAAGAAAAAAAATATTACCAGCAATACATTTTTGAAGAAAAATATTACCAGAAATAAAAATTGTTGGCATTAAATAATCCACTGTGGTTGGTATGCTGTAAAACAAAGCAAACCTGTTTGCAAAAGTGATAATGAAACATGATCTACAAAGTGATTTTGTTAAGAAAAAATAGAATATTTTTTTATTCATATGGATTTATATATATATATATATATATATATATAAATTCGTAGCTTTTAGCTTCCATTTTTGAAACATGGTTAGAACTGTGTAGCGAAAAAAACCATATTTTAATCAATTATATTTATATATATATATATATATATATATATATATATATATTTCTAAAGGGAGAAAATATCTTTTGGCATTAAATAATCCTTTGTGGTTGATATGCCATAAAACAAAGCAAACCAATCATTTATTTCAGTCTGTTTTTTTATACTAAAGTTCACTCAAAACAAAACTTGAGAGTCACTCAAGGTAGAGGGTTACAGTGAAAATGGATATGATGTATGAAATGTGATAAAAGTGAAAGATGAAATGGTAAGAAGCAAACATTATAAGGACAAGGAGGATAGACAATGATTAATGCATGACTTGAAAGAATTAAGTGTTTAGGGGAGCATCCAAGTAGAAGCCTGTTCCATAAGGTAGCAGGTCTTGTGGAAAAAGCTGATTGAGTGGATCTTTCTCCTTATATTTGAAAAATACTGAGGAAATGAGAGTGATTAGACCCATGGGGAAATTGGAATATGTTTCAAAAGCAAACATTTTAAACACTTGGCCATTGCTGCTCTTAAATAGCTAGTTTAGAATGAAACATATATGCAGTAAAACTATAAAAAGCCAAAGAAATACACCTTTTCTGTCTTCAAGGTTTTATGAAAGAAAAAGCTATTTGATATCGGGAAGCAAAAAATTGATTTTGTCAATTAAACCAGTTATTGCTTGTTAATTTCTCGTAACTGAATTGACGTAAGTTTGAATTTTGATTGACATTTCTCTGTAGATCTCTACCTCCTCCTTAGAAATATGGATTTGGAAGCAAAATGATTGGCAAGGAGAATGTTAGTTGGACTTGTGTTCCTCCTGCAATACCTGACATTGATATTTTTACGTTTCTCTTCTTGAACTCTAAGAATAATAAAATTTAAGGAAGTATGACAAGCTGTCTCAACTTGTTTTTAAAACAACATCAATCATTGGAGAAATGGCAAGTAAAAAAAAAAGAGAACAGACTGATATATTAAAATGGCTGCATCGAATGAGAAAGCAAAATTTAAGGAAACCAAATGCACTGAGTTAGCCAAAATGTTTGTTTTTAGTGGTTGATGGAATTAGTTTTGAATAAATTTATTTAAAAACATTGCTTTGGGTTTTATTTTGACATAAGCATTTATTTTTATTGAGTTGGCCCAAATGTTTCTTCTATTTTTGTTGAGATGGCATTAGGAATATTTAGTTTTAACTAATTTCATTGAAAAAGATTGCTTTTGAATGTATAATGATAGCTGTCTTATCAGCACTCATTTTTATTGGGTTGGTCAAAATGTTTGTTGTTTTTATTAGATGGCATTAGTAGCATTTAGTTTTAACTTCAATAAAAAAGATTATTTTTGGATGTATAGTGATAGTTGTTATATCAGCATTCATTTTTATTGGGTTGGACCAAATCTTTGTTCTAATTTTATGAGATTGCATTAGGAGCATTTAGTCTTAACTAACTTCACTGAAAAAAATTGCATTTGACTGTATAGTGATAGCTATCATATTAGCATTCATTTTTATTTGGTTGGTCAAAATGTTTGTTCTGCTTTTGTTATTAGATGGCATTAGGAGGATACAGTTTTAACTAACTTCATTGAAAAAGACTTTATATCAAGAATACTTTTTAAAATGAATTAAATTTATTTTTATTGATATCAGGGGTAAACATTTCCTTTATTCATGTGAGTGTGAAATGGAAGTAGTTATGTCTTGTCAAAAGCAATAAAGAAATTCTTAATTATTTTCTAATGTTATTAAAAATTTTCTTTGTTTTTTCTGTATTTTGTGTGGCAAAAAGCTTTTAGCATCTGAAAATATTTCTAAACTTGTAATTTAATACTATGTTTCTTTCCTGTCTTTAAAGACAGGAAAGAAAGCTAGCATTAAACAAAAAATTTAAATTAAAGAAAAGTTTTCTGCTTTTCACCAGACATTTTGTGCTGAAAAAGGATTTTGCAAGTAAGCTCGGATTTGAAAATTTAAATATAAAGATGTGACACCAGTTAAAATGTAAGCATTAGCATTTAATCAAGTAACAGACATTACTGGAAAGAAAGCCTATTTCCTATAAAAACTATCTAGCTTGTTGGCTATTGTGGCATGTGAGGTCTTCCTTACTTTGCTCAATTCAACAGTAGCTGCAATGGAAGTAATCAGTTGGGAACAAGAGGAAGACCCATACCCAATGATGACTGAGCCCTATTCAGTCTCTTTTTCCACTTTTCCTTTTCAGTGTCCACTACCTTCAAGGCCAACTTGAAAAACCTTTGCTGCAGAACACCCATAGCAGTCCTAGCTGTTTGATACTGAAATTTCTTGTTCTTTGTGGGAAGAAGCAGAGAAATCTCCCTTCGAAACATCTACTCAAGGAAAAAGCTCTGTTAACTGGGAAACCCAATTTTTTTTCTCACAAAATACAGCTATTTGCACTTTCTTTTGTCCATGAATAAAAGCTGTTAAACAGTTATTTTGAGCTATGGGTTTGTTCATTCCACTCTATACACTGCCAAGCACACACGCACACACATATATACACACTACATTTCAACACAATTACATACCCACATACATACCAGATTAAAACATGCCCAAACTTTTTCTACTCAATAATAAACAATATTACAAACACCCATTCACACTGCTCAGGTCGCAGTAGCTGAAGCAGCCAACCGTGGCTTTGAATTGCTACCCCACCCTACTTCTTTGCTAGACCTAGCACCATCTGTTTCCTAAACTCAAAATCTCATGTTCTGTATAGCAATACAAATATTCAGGCCGGTAGATGAAAAATAAATAAATATACTCTTTAATAAATAAACAGGGTGTCTACTCAAATATGCTTATCCACTAAAAATAACACTAAAGTAATAAAAATCTGTTGGATTAATAAATAAAATATCCATCCCTTTCCTTACAAATTGCTTTGTTTACATTAGGACATGAAACTAAGCAGATATGTCTATTGTCAGAGAAAAACCTGTGTTTAAAGGCACTATTCAACCACAAGGATGTGGAGGTACTTTTGGACTCTATCGAGACTGGATAGTGAAGACTGGGCAGCTCCTGCCCATATATAGCAACAATGCTTTTAAGAAGCGAGTCAAACTAAAAGCTTTTCAGCACCTCCTCATCGGAGTTTATTTGAATTCTGTTCATGTACTGGATGTTATAAGATTTTCCTTGTTTGACAAAAAAGATAATGTTATAAAGAACTGATATTTTTTTTTTCTTTTATGTTGTTTGAGAAAAGTTTTTGCTTGACTGATTAACTTACTGGCAAATAGCATCAGTAATTTGATGACTTTATAACCCACTGTTTTTAGTCAATAGTATATTAATGTAGTCTAATTGTTATTCTAGTTGTGATATTGACAAATGAGTCAAAATGCTATTTTGTTATATTTTATGTTTTTTCTTAGCTGACAGAGAAAAGCAATAAAACAAAATTGTTCATTAACTGGAGTGAATTGGCTGATTTGTTTTTTTTTTTATGGCTTATCAACCTTTTGCATTGTTATATAAGGCCAGAAAATATTTTTAGATTGTTAAAATTATTGGGGGTTAATAATGATTTACTGATATAAGTCATACTAATTAACCTATCACTGGGGGGGAGAGGGGGTTCATACATTTCCCAACAGTATTTGCACCTAAGTGAATATAACAAACCCAACTGAAATTGGAACATCTCTCTGATTAATAATTACAAGACATTATCCATTACACCACCCACACATCTAAGCTTACAGATTCCCAAGTGGTCACCCATCTAGATACTGACCAGGCTCAATGATGCTTAACTTTGGTGATCGTATGAGAATTGGTGTTAACTGGAGTGAAGATATACTCCAAAAGGAGAAATGAATATATACAAGACATGTGTGCTAGCGGATAGAGTCATTGAATAAATTACCTGCCAGCCATAAGTTCAATGTCTGGATTGAGTTATTCAAAAATTCCTATATACTTTGGTTTAATGGAACAGACAATCAACACCAAACAAACAAAAAATGATACAAAAATATTTGAGGTCATTCACAGAACATCAGTAAAAAATGAATGAATATATGTAACATCATAATAATAAAAACTGATAATTTTGAATGGATTTGAAATTAGATTCTTCTAATATCATCTAACAAAAAAAAACAAAAAAAAACAAAATGAACTTTTTGGGACAAGGTGACAAAGCCACTAAGATGCAAGGGGTTACTGAAAGTGAAAGAAAATGGAAAAATGTAATTGAATAGAAAGGACAATAAAACAACAGGTCTCTAAAAAACAGATAACAACTGAAATTGCTTTTAAATTTTTGAAGACATAATTGACAGGAGAGTAAGAAGTTGAAATAGAGTTCTGTCAGTGAGAAGTTTCTATTGTTATAGAACTTATGGTTACATCTGGCAATTTCAACTGTAAAATGATGAGATTTAGCTGCCAATCAAGTACTGCACTTAAATTCATGAAGTTGAGGTATCAAATAAGAGAGATCATCAGAGCACATGCCATGAAAATATTTATAGAAAAGGCACAAGGAAGCTATGTCATGGTGGTAAGAAAGTGACTGAAACCATGATGCCAGGTCAGATAACATTGCAGATTCTTCTTTGGATTTTAACAAGGATAAACAGCAGAAGCACCAGACCAGATATTACATCATAAATAGTAGCAAAAGTTAATTTCATAACTTCAAGATTATTTTTAAGAAATGTGAATCATATCTTGTTTTTTTTTTTTTTGGTAAACTTACATTAAAATTCATAGTACAAAATAAAAAACAAAAAACTTAAAAATATAATTTACAATAATTTTTTTCATTTAGGTCATTTAGTTTTCTGACCTTCACCTGCTCACACCTCCTCACTAGCAACCTCAAATCAGACAGAAAGTAATTACAAGAAATCCCAAAGTAACAACAAAATAATGCCAGTGATCACCAAAGTTAAGCAATGTTGAGCCTGGTCAGTACCTAGATGGGTGACTGCTTAGGAATACCAGATGTGTGGGTGGTGTAATGGATAATGGCTCGTAATTGTTAATCGAAGAGACGAGTTCCGATTCCAGTTGGGTATGTTATATTCACTTAGGTGTAAATACCTTTGGAAAAGGTATAAATCCATATCTTCTCCCTCCAGTTATGGATTAATTAATAAGACTTGTATCAATTAAAACATTATAATCTCCAAAAAATAAAAATAAACATTACGTACAAAATATTTAGATTTCTGGATTAAATGACCCATAGAGATATCGATATGCTGCTAAACAAAAATAACTAATCATCCAATGAAACAAAACTCTCCTTCGGTATGACTTTTTATCTTTCCCCAAATGAAACTCAAAATAACATTTTAAACTAAAAAACACTGACTTTCTGATTTCTCAAAGAAACACACCTTTACTTGCACTGTTTTTTTTACCATGACTGACTTTTTTCATCATGACTGACTTTGTTGATGTATTATTTTCAATTTGTATCATATTCTGTACATTTTGCAGTATGTTTCCAGTTTCATGATTGCAACAATTTTGCTGCAATGTGTAAACTTGTATTAGTGGCAAACCATCTGCATATGGACAGAACTAAGCAAATACACAAAAATAGAAAGTGGGTGTAAGACAAGGATGTGTCTTCTCATTGGATTTATTTAACCTGTACAGCAAGCTGATCCGAAGAGAAATAGAACTACTACCTGAATTTATTATTGGTGGACGCAATCTTAATAACATAAGATATGTGGATGACATCATGTTGATGGCAGACATAGAAAGAAAACTGTAGGAACTCCTAGACAAGATAGTAAAGGAAAGAAAGAAGAAAGTACTAACTATCAGTTGTCAGAAGACAAAAATGTACAGACATTAACAAAAGATGTGGACACGACAAAATAATGAAAGTACAGAAATTTAGCTATCTGGGATGTGTTTTAACAGATGATGTAACAAAGAAATATGAAGGTGCTTTGGAATAGTAAAAGATGCCTTCTAAAAGCTAAACAAAGTATTAAGAAAAATGAAAATTTCATTAAAAACAACGAAAAGACTGCTGAACTGCTAAGTAATATCAACCTACTTATATAACAGGGAATGCTGGACAATTTCTTCAAAGATGAAGAGGAGACGTGGTTCTGAACAAAGATGCTGAGAATACTATGGATGGGGCATGTGAGCAATGAGGAAGTCTTAAGGAAAATGGAAACAAAAAGTACCCATCTTAGAATCAGAAAGAGGCAGCCAAGATCTCTGGGACACATAATGAGAAAAAAAGGCTTAGAGAATTTGATATTTCTATACTTGATTGAAATTATTATATATGCAATTACAAATATATATGTAAATATATCAATAAATATATATGTAAATATAAATATATATCATGAAAATTTATTTAAGTTTATTTTTGTTTCTTCCTGCTTTCTTCTTCTATCTCTTAAAAATGATCGTCTTTCACAAAGTTGTTATCTGCCAAAGTTTTAGTGTTATTTAATTAATACTGTCATGTTTCTTTGCTTGTTGCTGTCATTTTGTTCAATTCATCATTTCAATCAGTGTCTTATCCACCAGTTTAAATTCAAACAAAACCCATGTACAACATAAGCATATCTATTTCCTAATTGTTGACTTATCATGCGATTCAACAAGTATTCCATAGTAACCAAACTGATCTATGAAAGAAAGTTATTAGAATAATCCAGAATACTTAATAGGAGCAAACAGCCTGGTTATGGATGGAAAATGAATTGAGAACGTACACAAAAATAGAAAGGGGGCATAAGACAAGGTTTTATCTGCTCATGGCAAGTGTTTAACCTGTACAGCAAGGTGATCCGAAGGGAAGTCCTATCAGAATTACTGATGGACACAATCTTAACAGCAGAAGATATGAAAGATGATGTCATGTTAAAGGCAGACATAGAAAGAAAACTGTAGGAACTCCTAGACAAGATGATAAAGGAAAGAAGTAAGAAAGTATTAACTATCAGCTGTCAGAAGACAAAAATATATAGACATTAACAAAAGAGGCAGTTCAAGATGTGGACATGACAAAATAATGCAAGAAATTTAGCTATCTGGGATGTGTTTTAACAGATGATGTGACACAGAAATATAAAGGCGTTTTGGAATAATGAAAGATGCCTTTCAAAAACTAAACAAAATATAAAGGAAAATGAAAATTTTATTAGAAACAAAGAAAAGAATTCTGAACTGCTAATATCAATTTACTTATTTGGCTGTAAATGCTAGGCAATTTCCTCACAGATGAAGAGAAGACAAGGTAAGAAATGTGGTTCCGTAGAAGGATGCTGAAAATATCAGGGATGGAGCATGTGAACAGAGATAAAGTTTTAAGGAAAATGGATGGATTGGTTTATTTAATGGCATATCAACTCCTTATGGGCCATTTAATGCTGAAATTTAATTTTCTTCAGAACTTTAAATTAATTTAGTAATTTTACTATAAATATGTATTATTGGTAATTTTTTATACTAAAATTTTTTGCAACACATTAAGACATCTTGAAATCTTCACAGTATCATGGGAAGTGTTTTAACAAATGATGTAAAAAGTGATATAAAATCTGAAGACGCATTAGAATATTAAAAGATGTCTAAAAGATAAAGAAAGAAACAGAAAAAGCATACTGAACTGCTATGTAATATCAGTTCTTCTATATGTCCATGAATGCTAGGCAATTTCCTCACAGATGAAGACATGAGGCAACACAGATATAGTTCTACTGGATAATGCTGAAATTGCTATGGATGAAGCAAGTTTAAAAAAGTACAAAGGGGCGTAGGACAAGGATGTGTCTTCTCTTCAGGTTTATTTAACCTATACAGCAAAAAAATCCCAACAGAACTAGAAGTCCTACCAGGATTTATTATTGGTAGGCACAATCTTAACAACATAAGGTATACGGATGACACTGTATTGACGGTAGAAACAGAAACTCCTAGACAAGGTAGGAAAAGAAAGCAGGAAGAAAGGAATAACTAAGATGTGAGCTACAAATTAATGATGTCAAAATCAAGCAAGTACAGAAACATATATTTATGGAAAATACTTTAACTGGTGACAGAAAATAATGATGGAACATGCCTTCTAAAAGCTAAGCAAAGTATTAAGAAACAGCAAGTAACCTATTTAATCAGTTTGTGTAAATGACTGGTAGAACAGTCAGTGTGAATGATAGTTAAAAATACAAACATTGTACAGGGTGTGTCCCTAAACTCTGGACATATAGGAAATCTCATTAACTATATTTTACCTCCACAGATTAAACATGGTTTGTCAAAAGAAGAAAGAATGGACTTCTTTTCCTGTGGTATGCTTAAGAAGGTGTACTCAATGAAAATCACAGATGCAACACACTTGTTTGAACACATCAATGGTAAATGTGCTAAAATTGATGGCAATGTGGGATTATTGCATCGAGTTCACGTGAATCTTGCAAAGCGCATCAACCTTTGCATCAAAAATGATGGAAACCATATTGAAGATGTTATTTGTTGAAATTCCAATTCAATAAAAGGTTGTTGAAAATTTAATTTCTTGAAAACATGCATTTTTGCCTAGGGTGCCCAGATTTTAGGGACAACCTGTATTATGAAATATATGAGCTTGAATATATTTTTCTACAAATAAAGTATTTTATAAGTAAATTATTAAACTGATAGTTTGATTCTTATATATTTTACAAAATAAAAAAAAACCATACTGCACCTCCCTATTGAAGCAAACAATGGTATGTTATGGGATATGATCTGATGTCTGTGCCTAGGCCAAAAGACCTTTTATATTTTAGTATCGGTGTGGATGCAGTAAAGAT